GTTCTGACTGAATCTCTACAACCTCTTTTCTTATTCCTTCCATCCTTAGTCCCATCCACCAGGCAAGTTCGTAGAAGAGCCCAGCCAAAGCCTTAACCAACACTTGTTGTCTGAAAAGGACCGGAGCAGGATGCAAGTGCAGGAAAAGGTTCTTTAACTGAGGCCCGTAACCTCAGTCCGTGATGTCTTGTGATGTTCCAGCCTTCAGGCTTTCTAGGATAGTGACTTGTGCTGCTGTTCTTGGGAGCTGGGCTACACCTGGACTGATCAAAGGTTGTAAACCAAGTGGAAATGGCATAAACAATGTTACCCGGCATGAACATGAGTATGAAACTTTCTGTCATTTGATCTTTTAGGCTAGGGGATTCTAACTGGCTTGTAACTCACAGTTTCTTCCCAGCCAAGCTGTAATTGTGTCTGAAGCAGCAGTTCAGCATCCCGTCCCCCTCATTTCCCATTTTTTCCTCTCTCTCATATGACTCTTCGCCCTCTTGGAAAGGTAGCTCTCCGCTGTCTGTGCTCTCATTTTCCTGATGTTGTTACTGCCACGCTCTGCAGATTGTAATATCTCCTTATTGAGGTAAGAATAACCCCAAATTTCTTAGCTTCTGAGTTGTGAAGGAACACATTCGTGCCAGTCACTGTGACTCTAGGAAAGCTCCATTCACTAACTTATAATACAGCACAATATGTTTCAAATTCCACCTCCTGCCAGCTACAGTGTGATGTGAATTCCTTTTCATTGCTGCCTGTGAGAGTAGTTATTGCTGTTTCTGAAGCACAGACTCGCTTGCTTTTTCACTCCATGTAGTCAAGGCAATAATTAATCATGGAGAAAGGACTGTGGAGCTCATTGTCACAGAAGACTGTTATGACCGTTTAACAGATTTTCAGAAAGGGACAGGTCATTTTTATGAACAACAGGATTATTTGAATTTAAATTACGGCTTATAAATTTAGGATAGCTTCTGTCTACCAAGAGCCAGGAAAAGACCTGTGGAGGATAAATTACCCCTATGTGTATTATGAGTTTCTTCCTCAGGCTTTGAGATGACTGAGTATGACAAGGTCAGCTTTGTCCTTTCACCAAACATTAGCGATGCTGCAGGTCTCCTGTTACTTACTAGCTTTGTTGCCCAGCTTGGGACATGTACTTCATTCACTAGCCTTCACCTCAGGCTCCAGTCTGGCTACACAGGTAAACTGTATGCACAAGGTAAGCTCCTGAGCCCAGCAGAACAGTCTCACCTGAGAAGTGCCTGAAATGAGGGGACCCTCATCTCAGTCAGCATCCCTCTAGATGCTTTGCCATGCTAAACTACGATCATAGCATTCACCAGCAGTGCCTGTAACTTAGAGCAGCTTTCTCAGGTGGCTGGTGAGAGATCTTTCCCTTGTTCCATCAGGTGGTTTAGCTGCTGTCCTCCACTGCTGTGCCCTGCAGCCGCCACACGCTATATTGACCCTGCTTTTCTCCATCCCCAGCATGAACCTGACAGTTATTTCTCAAGTTTTTCCTGCTCTTGGCTGTGAATTGCGTTACTGCCACTGTGATTTTTGTCCTGCTAGTAGTTAGGAAACAGGAACAAACAGAAACCGTGTGCCCTGGGCTCTCTTCAAGGAGAAATAAACTTTGAGTCTCCAGTCGAGACTCTTACTGAAAGAAAAGGAAAAGGGGAAAAAAAAAAAAAAAAAAAGAAAGGGTAAAACCATTCTGTGCCTGGGGTCACATCATTGCCTGAGTCATCGAGCAGCTTTGCAGCACTTTCAGACTTGTGTTTCTCAGCCTGACCATACCGGTGTTTGCATTAAAACCCTGCCTGCTATTGACACCAGCAGAGCAGTGACCCAGGCATCACAGAAGCAATCCCTGCTCCACACTTGCTTGTGCTGCTTTGCCAAGGCAGCGATGTGGTGGGGAATGTGGCTGGGGAGAGACTGCTGCCAGAAAAGAAAATGCTTGCTCTACAGCTTCTTCTTCATTGCTCTGTTAGGCCCAAAGACGTGAAGGTTTTTAGCAGGTGAAAGCCTCTACTTGCCATCCGTGCCACACGTGGAGTGTCTGTTGCAGACGTGGCGCGAGGTGCCCAAAGTATGGCTTTTGCTAAAGGTAGTGGGACATGGAGGCCAGCAGTCCCTGGTTCATGTCCAAAGCATTATTTGACAAGGCTTCAGGCTTCATTTGAGTAAATTCCATCTGCTGGCCACGTTTATATTTGACTTGACTTTACAGGAAAACCTCTTCCCTCAGCACATGTGGCTTTGTGAAAACAAAGAGAGTTTTGATTGTAATCTTTAGAACCTGGAAGATCCCATCGCAGACCAGGCCCTCTTGCTCTAGATCCTAAAGAGACAGTCCTAAAAGTTTGCCTCCATCCCAAGCATCTTGCGATCCAAACAAAAGCCAGTGGCTGGATGCAGGCTGATGGGCAGAGAGAGCTAAGCACTATGAGCAGAGTAATAGTAAGGAGGGCAAAGACCATGCAGCCAGTAGATGCTGAGTTTGTCTTTATATTCGGAGAGACGGAATGTGGTTTTAATGACTATGACCCTACTGGGGGAAAAAGCTCTTTTTATGAACCAAAAATCTATAGTTATTTTATCCTTTTTGCCTCTGTGGCCAGTCTGGTGTCCTGCTGTGGGAATAAGGTTTCTTCCAGCCAAATTTAGACATGTTCTAGCATATGGGATGATTAATTTAAATGGAGGCATGCAGCAAGGACTTTCTTTTCACTCCTTTATCTTCTCTTTGTCAAGAGATACATTCAGGTTGCAAGTGTTCTGGGTCTGTTTTGTTGTTGGAGCTCTCAGAAGCAATTAATTTCATGTCGGGAAGTCTAGAGTTTGACCTGAATTTCCTCAGTTTCTGGTCCCCTGCCTCCCTTTTCCCCTAGAAGCAGTGTTTCAAACTCCTTCCTTAATCTGCTAATCCTTAACCTAAAGGGAGTGAATAAAACTTCTGGATGAACAGCAGCCACAGGACATTTCTATGAAGAATGAACAATAGAGAGCAGAACTTAATAGCATGTTTCAGAGCCTGCCCAGAGCCAGATGGGTTCCTGGGGTTCAGCATAAAGGCAGTAGGTGTTGGGTGCTGAGTTTCTTTGAGAGCCTAACTGTGAAGCTTTGCCTTTTGTTAGAAGGGAGATTTTCAAAGTGAGACGTGTCTGATATGTTCCTTGGTAGCAGAGGCTGAACTGAGAGCAACACTTCGAGGGTTTGTAGCCTGAATAACTGAGATTTGTTTTCCAAATTGACTCCAATCTTGAGTCGCTGAGGACCTCAAACCAAATACCAATTTCATACCTGGAGCCCGAGCTGTAAACTCAGAAGCTATTTTAACATTTACTTAGTAGGATTATACCTCTGAGCGGCTTTCCATAAGTTGCAGTATCTCATGTATGAGAGGTCTTCTATTTGTGGGGTTTTTTTTCTGGATTGCTGCAAAATCTTTGAGAGATTCGTGAGGCTGAAGAACATAACAGAATTGCTTCTGGCCCCAAGACTGACTAATGGAGTCTTAGGAAAAGGGCAGCAGGTGTTATAGGATAGCAAAAAATGTTTGTTATCAAGAAGGCTGGCTTGTTTGTCACGCAAACGACCTGAGGCAATGGCAGCATTGGTTACTGGGTTGTGCCTTCTCTTTTTGCTGTCACTGGGATGAGCTGTGGTCAGTTAGAGCTGAGCAGGTTTGAGAACAGCACTTTCTGTGTTTGACCTGTGTTATTTGACAGCTTCCTTTACAAGCAGGGAGCCTGATGCTGCAAATGCAGAATCCTAACCCAAAGATCCTGGGAAATGAACCCTCGTGGAAGTGATTTTAATATCTGGAGTGCTTTGAGTTTAGCTGAGGAAAGATCATTTAATTGAAAACTCCCTAACTGCAAAACTGCAACTTGGCACTTGCCTTCCTTTACTGTTTCATAAAGAGCGAGAAGACAAATGATCTTGTTTTAGATGACTGAATCTGTGATGAGTAACTTTCTGTCTAGCTTCAGTGACACTTTGATTGTTGGCACCAGCATCATGTGCTGGGCTGCCTCCTGGGGCCATTTTCAGCAGCAAGCAGAATTTACGATGTTCTCTCTCCCATTTTATGGCACTGTGTCCTAGCTTACTGTAGCTCACATTTACATTGGGCTTATATTTTACATTGCATCTGAATGGGGCCTGGAGAAGGACTGAAAACAGATACAGATGTTTTCTGGTGAAGGCGAGTATGAAGCTCTACTTTGCTTAAGAAGGCTTAGAACAAGCAACTAAGTCCAGGACTGAATACCAGGCCATCCATGCTCACCTGTTGCATTAATGAATCTGAAAACTTGAGCCTGCTTAAGAGACAAACCAAATGTAAAGAATTCCAGTTTTGCCACTCCAACACAACCATTTGTCACCAAATCTCCTTCTGTGAACAAGGTAACAAACTGCAGTGTAGCCTGTTTTTTTAGGGGCTTATCAGTTCTAGTTGTTTTAGGGATAGAGTAGAAGGGAGAAAAAAAAAACAAGGATGAAATGACCATTTGCAAGTTACACTGTGGTTCCTGGAAAAAAGGTATGTAGCAAGGAAAAGAAGCACAGATGTTCCATCTACCTGTTGCTCTGTGAAGGCTGGACTTGGTGATGTCAGAGGTCTTTTCCAGCCTCAACAATTCTGTGATTCCGTGATTCTCTGTTATATTTATGTCATTTATTTGTACCGTGACTGTGCTGTAAAATCTCCAAGTTTTGGCCTTGGAACTGGCTATGCAGTTTACCCTGAGAGCCAGATCCAGAGGTGGTTGCTGGTAGAGCTGTAAGCTACAGACAGCCTCAAGGACTGATATTAGTGACCCACTGGACAGACAAACCTCGTATTTCAGTGTAACAAAGGTATTGAAGGGGGACAAACCATGAGGAATTTGTCAGATGAGCAGAATTACCTTGTTTATATTGTATAGTCACTAATGGATTTGTGTATATATTCACTGTATATGATGATTTAAATGTATTTTCATGTTTAGGAGTATCAGATGCCTGCGGAATATTATCCACTGGAACCTGATCACCACATTCATCCTGAGGAATGTGATGTGGTTTCTGCTTCAGATGATAGATCACAACATACATGAAAGTAATGAAGTAAGTGCTTGGAGGCAGCATGTCTCTGCCAGGTAGCTTGGGGGTGGGCAGGGATGATGGGTGTGCACAGCTGATAGAAATATTACAAAGGACACCTATCCACATGCTCTGAGTAATTTCAAAAAGATGAAGAAAATGAGCCTATTTGGGTTAAATTTTAATTTATTTCATCATTACAGAATTCCTTTTAAGTAAAAATCCCACTGGAAAGCTTCTCTCGTGTCTTAATTGACCGTACATACTTTCCGAATTTATATACTGTGAAACACAATATTCTGCAAAACACTAAGCTTGGTGGTTCTTGAACATTTCTTCAGAGCATCTTGCAGTGATGTGCACCTGAGTATGGAAGCATTCACTCCAGAGGGCAACATCTCCACAAACAGGGTGTAAAAAGAATTTATATGGCTGTTTGGGCTCTGAGTCAGCTGCTTTGTCTTGATGACAGTGGGTACCTTACCATGGGACTCCCAATAAAACAAGAAATAGGGCCTGAAACAGAACAGGTTTTGTTTTGTTGATGTCATTGTGGATTTTTTTTTTACAAAATTCCATTTTTCTGCTAATCCCTTCTTCACTGCGCTGGCTTTGAGAATGATGTTCTGTGACGTGGGCTGCAAGTGATGCTGGAAGCAAAGCCTCGTTTCTCCAGGGACCCAAACGCTTCACCCCAGCTCCTGCTGATCCTTTTGCACTAGCTCTGCTCCTTTTCTTGATCACTTGGGGAGGACTGAGCCTTTGGGATGCAAACTGATTAAGCTGGCAGGGAACTAACCTAGCCAACAAAAAAAGCAAGGAAGAGTTTTCTGCTGGCATAGCTAAGTCAGCTTTCTGATGGGTGACTGAGAGAGACAGTTCAAGGACCAGAGAGATCCACGCGATAGAAAACGTGAAGGCTGAAGGAGACAAGAAGTGGGGAATCTTCCTTGCAGGGAACTGAGCCCTCTTGAGAAATGCAGCTACTCCCATTTCTCTTTTATTCTCCATGATATTTCTTGTTCACTCAAGTAATTCCCAACTGCAGATGCTTTTCTGAGTGATGACATTGGCTCGGTCCCTACGTAAGTACTGTGATGCCTCCCTCTGTGTAGCCACCCAGCAGCCCTGATAATATGAGCATTTCAGAGATGATTAAAAGCATCCACTCCAAAAGAAAAAGCAGTTTTATTTTTTTTCTTGGGGAATAATTCTGCATTCCCTTGGCAAATAGTCCTTTGTGATAGTCCCTTGCCAGGGTTTTTTACTGTTCTCTTTCCTTTGTAATAATCTTTTACTGGAGTATTCTCTTTTTAGGACTGTCTCCTGGTATTTAACTTGGTAATGAAGAAAAAAGTGCACTGCAAACACACATACACATACACACGCACACCCCATTCATAGTCTCTTTGGAAAACAGGTGGACTAAAATGCTGCTCGATTATGAGCAGGATCCATAGTTGTCAATGTGGCTCCACTCATGTAGAAACTGATCTTACAGAAACTGAAAACCACCCCGGGAGCCTGCATATCCATTCATTTTAATGTCAGCTGGCCACTTGTCACCCTTGGTTAGCTTTTCAAATTTAAGACTTGACATCTGAACTTTAATCCCACATTTTGGGAAAACGAATAGAAAAGCCGTTAGTACCTGGGTAAAGAAGTCTGTGCATAATTCCGCATTATTATTCAATCAGATGCTGTTTTGAGAATATGTAGCTTTTATTAATTCACTGGGGATTTTTTTTCGCTGTGTTTGATGTTTTTAGACTACAGAACATGGTGGTATATGAGCTTTATTGGTAGTTTTATGCTGCATGGTTTGCTTCCAGTGCAGTACTGCAATTATACAGATTTTTACAGTTATTTCAGAAAAAAAATCAATTGGAGTCAGGCACTCCAATGACTTTTAAAATGTGACTACAAAGTGCAAAGAAAAATATCTTGCAATTATAAGGGCAGATCCTCACATGCCTCAGTTTTCATTAACTCATCTTTTCTCAGCAGAACACCGCAGAACACTTTCTGGGAAACTGCTTTATGCAAGCTTAGCGATAACTTTGTTATATTCTTGTTGAGGAGTAGGTCAGAGTGAAAATAACAGCACCAAAATTGATGGAAGCAACATCATTTATGATAGCTAATGATGTGATCTCTTCTGTGCCGATCCATGGAGATTAAATAATGTGGTTGCAGAAGCATAAAGGACTCGACATGGAAACATTTTGCATGAAGTTACAAGGCTTATGTTAATAAATCAAAAAGGGGAATCGCTGAAGATACCTGGAGCCTAATGGTGAATACGTGTGGGGATCAAGAATCCTCAGTCAAATAAATGAGAAGATATAAATTAATGAGTTCTGCTAATTAGGTTTATTATTCAGTGATAATAAACCCACAATTCCAAAAGGAATTGCTCAAAATTCATTTTATTCTGGTTTCCTGTGGAAACGATGCAGGAGGAGTTCTCACCACCATTGTGTGTGTTTGTCTGTATCTGTCCCAGTATCTTCCCAGTCCAGTGGCCAATTCCACTCAGTTCTGACATGGGAGCAGCAGGCTCAGATATAACTATATTTTACAGTTCTCGTGAAAACGGACAGCTGTAGAGATGACAAAAACTGTGTAAGTGTTGCAGCTGAGGGAGAGAGGGGAACAAAAGTCTGGAGGCTGTATCAGAGAATTTGCATGAGATTGAGGCCACAGGGAAAGCTTTAATTCATGCTCATACCTGCCAAAAATCAAATGTGAGACTTAGAGTCTTTGGAAACCTAGTCTTACTGGTTTGAGGATCAGTCAGGAATGGAGCTAAAATATTTGTTTAGTGTTAGCCAAAAATAGGACTTTTTTTTTTTTTTTTTTTAGTTTGTGGCTTTGTTTACGTTTGTTCAGACCAAAAGGAGAAAAGAAGTAAAATTTAATTTTACACCAAAACTTTGGAAACAAAATGTTTCATCTTTCTCTGAGTTGTTTTGTTTCGTCATACTAATTCAAAGATGAAACCAGACTAAATTCTGAATGAAATAATACAGAAATGAATCTTTAACACAGTCAAAAGATATGTGTATTTACTTCACCTCAATAAACAGAATTGATCACAACTTGCGAATGGGCTATCATTTTTTAACTGTGCTTCCTGTCCAACAAATTCTTAGTTGACGGAATTTGGCTGCTTTGATAGTGCATCTGCTGCTCTGTTGACTGCCTAGAGATCACAAGTACCTCATGCATGTGAAGTCTGAAATAAAATCTACTGACAGACAAAAGTTTCAAATATTTTCTTCGAGTTAATTAAAAGGCTGGAGGATGGTGAGACCAAAATGACATCAATGATACCAGTTACCATAGGTAATTAATGTCATTCTTCAGGGAACACGCTGAATGCCTGCTTGGTCAGAAAGAGACTTTCCCAGGCTTCTATGTGTAGCACTATGGAAATTACCATCAGTAGTTACTTGTGATTTATTGATGTGATGTTGCCATCTGCCTCTCTGTAGCTAATTGTGTGTTCCACAGCTGTGCTCTCACTGCACAGCCGTTAGGAGAAGATGCTTTTACTGATACGTTGAGCCTAACCAAAATTTCCTTTTAAAGTTATGGCAAAATTCAGAAGTGATGTGTGTAGTGACGTGACTTACAGACTGAAGCATAATGGCAGGAGTAGAGGGGATGAAGAGGCAGATAAAAGCACATCTTGAAAGTACAATATCTTTTTTTCTAAATGTCAGTGATGCTCCTTCCCTTCAGAAATGAAGAAAGACTGTGACATTGACTTCTACCCTATACTTTCTTTGAATTGACCCTGGGCTATGGCTGTACCTTTCTGAAAGACCACCTGTAGCCAAATGACCTACCTCGTCTTCTTTCCACAAGGCTGCTTCTTAAACTGGTTGCAGACAGCTGGTGTGGACATGCCTTATGGCAGGTTAACTTTCCAGACAGGCTCAGGTACAGGAGATCCTGCATGATGAACCTACAGGAAGGCAGGAGAGGGAATTTTTACAACAGTGTCCTGCAATAGGACAGGGGGAAATGAATTTAAATTGAAGGACAATAGGATTAGATTGGATCTTAGGAAGAAATTCTTCAGTACAGCAGTGGCAAGACTCTGGAATAAATTGTCCGGAGGAGTTACGGATGCCCCCTCCCTGGAGATGTTCAAGGCCAGGTTGAACAAGGCCTTGAGCAACCTGCTCTAGTTGAGAGGTGTCCCTGCCCATGGCTGGGAGGTTGGATTAGATGATCACTAAGGTCCCTTCCAACCTAAGCCATTCTGTTATTCTGTGATTCTATGTCATGGTCAAAGCCAAGCCTCAGCAGAAGGTTGCAGACATAGCTGTGAGTTCCCAACAGCACCTAAGATATTGTGGTCCCAAGTCACAGGTATATCTCTGCATCCTATGCAAAAATTCTACCATCGATTTTTAAGGGAATAACAACATACAGAATCTTTTACATGTTCTCACCATGATATTCTGTTGCATTTCCTTTCCAGCCCTGGTGTCGATGTATTACCACGGTCTACAATTATTTTGTGGTGACCAACTTCTTCTGGATGTTTGTGGAAGGCTGCTACTTGCACACCGCTATAGTGATGACTTACTCCACAGATAAACTGCGGAAATGGGTCTTTCTCTTCATAGGATGGTGTAAGTGTCTTTTGTGCTTAAAATGGTGTAACGTGGTACTTGACATTAAAGCGCTAAAGACAAGACAAGTAAGAAAAAAAAAAGTTAAAAATCCCACTGTGGTGAAATCTGGCATTGAAACCTAACTTTGTCAGAGCAACATGAGATCAAGTTTAGTTCTTCAATGTTGGTGACAACGCAATGCTAAGAGGTTATTGCTGGATTTATCGTCTTCATTTAGATCCTTGGGCACCTGGTGTTAAGCAAAGAGGAAGAGCTCCCAGGCTCAGCATTTTGGGAATGCAGCAGTTCATTTCCCTTTGGTCAGCAAAGCTGTGATCGTAACCCCTTATGTGATACTACTCATGCTCAGCATGAGATGAAACAGAAAAGGCCCTGTCCATGCCCTGTGAAACCCTCAGTGTCAAGAGACACTTCTAAGTGAGGAGCTGACTAGAAGAGAAGCTTCTTTATCTGCCAGTGCAACCTCACAGCTCTCTTTTGCACTGCTGAGAGAGTTGTGCCTAGAAAACAGCCTCTAACAAAGCCTATCACATGTTGTCTTTGTACTATCCTTGTGGCTACTCAAAGATACAAAAAAAAGCCCTCATTTTGTGTCCTGTCACTTCACTTCTACTGTGTGAGCCTGGGTGAGAGCAAAGGCTGCTCCTTTTCCCTAGCTGCATCAGTGTGAGTTGGTCCGTCAGTACAGACTGTCAGAGCAGTAATCCTGCTGGTAAGGATGCAGGGGTTGCAGTGGATTCAGGCTGACTATGAGCCATCAATGCCTTCTCCTCATGAATAGGGTAAAACCCATACTGGCTTGCATTAGGACTATTGGCCAGAAGCCTGAGGGAAGTTTCTTCTTGACTTTGGTAAGGCTGCCTTTGGAATTTTGGGCTTTTTAGGATGTTGAGTAATGATAGGACTAGGGAGTATTGTGTCCAATTCTGAGCCCACAGCACAAGAAAGAGATGGACGTGCTGGAGCTTGTCCAGAGAAGGGCCATGAGGATGCTCAGAGGGCTGGAGCACCTCTCCTCTGAAGACAGACTGAGAGAGTTCAGTCTGAAGAAAAGAAGGCTCCGAGGAGATCTTATTGTGGCTTTCCAGTATCTCAAGGGGGCTACCAGAAAGCTGCTGAGGGGCTTTTTAGGATGTTGAGTAGTGATAGGACTAGGGGGAATGGCTTAAAGCTAGAGATGGATCGGTTCAGAGTGGACGTTGGGAAGAAGTTCTTCCCCATGAGGGTGGTGAGACCCTGGCACAGGTTGCCCAGAGAGGGGGTGGTAGCCCCATCCCTGGGAGTTTTTAAGGCCAGGCTGGATGGGGCTCTGGGCAGCCTGATCTAGTGGGGGATGCCCCTGCCCATGGCAGGGGGTTGGAACTAGATGATCTTTAAGGTCCCTTCCAACCCTGACAATTCTGTGATTCTATGATTCTAATACTGCAGTCATTTGGGGGTCTCTTAGATCAAAAGGTGTGTGGAAATGCTGGAGATTATCCAGTAGAAGCCTGTCGATATCACCAGGGATCTAGAGGACATGAGGCTGAAGGAGCTGAGTTTGTTTAATCTGGCAAAGAGGAAGTTAAGGAGGGATCTGCTGGGTGTCAAGAATGACCTGAAGGATAATTACCAAGATGATGAAGCCTAATTCTTCTTGGTAATAGCAGATATTGTAAGGGACAATGACCGCAAATTGCAAAATGGGAGGTTCCAGCTGGACGTTAAGAAAACAGAAAATTTACCAGAAGGTAGTGCAGTGCTGGAATGGATGACTTAGAAGCTTTGGAGTCTCTGACACTGGAGGTATTGAAAATTCTGCAAGGCTAAGCCCTGGCTGAGGTGAGCTAGTGTTGATAGTTCTACTTTGAGCAGGAGACTGGACTGGATACTTTCAGTGGTCCTTTCCAAGCCATATATCCGTTATTTGAGCTTGGCCAGGAGATATTTGGCAAGATGGATCACATGCAGGCAGCTTTTTTACTTGAACGCAGGTCAGACAGAACTAGTAAATTTGGCAGTTCTTTTCTGCTGAAACAACAAAGGTGGAAAAAAGTCACAAATATTTTCATTTCTGAAAGTAGATTGGCATTTTGTTCAGAAATGCCTCTTCCTCTCAAAATTGAACAGAAGTAATTGAATTGCAGTTCTGAAAGCAGAAAATGTATTTCAAACAAACTATCATTCAATCCAAAACCAAAGGGGAAGAAAGAGGAGTTGTTGTAGAAAGAAAATGTTTATGTGAGGAATTGACTCAATGTTTTTTTCCCAATATTTTTCAGTTCTGACACTAAACTGGAAAGTCAGCTGGTCAGACAGCTCTCACTGACCACCAGACTGGTTTGGTACCTAATATTTTCCCTCCCTACCTCTCTCAGAGCCTTCTGGGTCTCTGATTACTAAGGTAGGAGTGGTGTGAGCTGAGTATACCTTTTCTGTCACCCTTTTGGATGCATTCTGACACTGCTTTGCCTTCCCATACATGATCTTTTACCATCTTCATTCTTAAGTGCCTGTTCTTCAAAAGGAAAAGACACTTTCCTCTAGGAGGAAGGACATGACACATTTTGTCTGTTCATGTCTAGCAAGAACATGAGGGAAATGTGCACAGGACTTGGAAGAGAACACAATCACTTGCAGGGCACAGAAGTCCCCAGGGCTGGTGGTGCAGGAGATCAGAGCTGCACTATACTTCTTGATGAGGTTCAAGATGACCACTCCGTGATTCATTCCCTTCCTTACTGTGTTGTGGTTCTTTCCACTCTGCTTCATCTCTTTAAAGCCTCCATTTCCCACAGAAGAGGCAACAAATTAGGTGTTAAAAGGCAATTAGATACAAGTCTGTGCTGGCTCCTCCATGAGGATTTAAGTCACGTTGAGTCATGAGTGGCTGGAGAGCTACCCAGCAGAAAAGGACCTTATCTAGAAGTATAGGTATATATATATGTATTTATTAATAATTTTATTAACTTTTCCTACTGGTACTGGCATTTTCTCTTTTTGAGATGATCTTTCTTATATAAACATAAAGAGGTCTTAGCAATTGTGATGTCTCAAGTATACAAAGATAAGACCACTTGTGTTTTGGGTCCGAGGCTCTCCTCACACAAATCTGAATCTGCATCTGTATCATCCATCCATATATGGGTTGTGATTAATTCTTTTTTTTTTTTTTTTTTTTGCTGTTGCAGGCATTCCTTGTCCAATCATCATTGCCTGGGCCATTGGAAAACTATATTATGAGAATGAACAGTAAGTGATGTTAACATTTGTGTTTATGTGGCTCTCTAAATAAATTAAGAAAGGCCTGCAGTCTGAACTGGTAATTTAGAAATAAGGTCAATTGATAGGAAGGAAAGTTCACCAAATCCAGAGCATCTCAAATTTCTGAGCACTTCTTGAGTCAACTTCTGGAAATACCATTCCAAAATATCCTTGGCCAAGTCCTGAAGCTCTCATTTGATAGCTTTATACATGATTTACAGTCAGGGTAATTTCCTTCCATGGGAGTTTTTCTTGAGTAAGACCTTGCTGAAAACTACAGCTGAGTGCTAAAAGGTTTAGCCTTCTGGGTGTGCAGAATTCAGGTGACAGTCTGCCAAAAATAGTCTTATGGCTGGAATTTTTCCATTTCTGTTTCTGGCTTTTACAACTGGAAGCAGTCAGGGCATGAAATTGAAAAAATATGGGAAGTAGAGGTATCTGTATTTGGGGATTTTTCCCTCCAGATACCGATACTAGTCAGATATAGCTCAGCTTGTACTTTTCAACTAGTGTTGGCGTCAATGTCTATTATCTGTTGCAGCTTCCTTCCCTAACCTCAAGAAATTCTTTTCTCCATGAATCTGTTTTTCATAGGACCACACCGTTTGTCTGCCTGTAGCGCAGCTGATTAAATGTGTCTGCCTTGTCAGTGTCTGCATCTGCACTAATCTGTGGTCTCCTATGATCAGCAGTGATCAGTCAAAGCAGTCTGCAATGCATTTCATCTCATCTGGAAGAAGATATCCAAAGTGGTTTGGATGAATTAGACTTAGATGCATTATTTCTCCTGACTATAAGGGCGAGGGATAGGATGACTGGCTGAGTTTGGGGCATCCATGCTGTAGACATGGAAGGAATTCTGCTATGGGCTGCTAAATTCCTCTTTACTACTTCCCACAAACTTCTGAACCCTTGACCAATCTCTCTTCTGTAGTTTTCATGATGAATTTGTAGGTGATAATCTAAATCCCAGGAATTACACGTATTGACAGTCAGACAGAAATGCTTTCACTGAGGGAGAAATTTTGTGTGACTCCATCCCTGCTTATTATAATCACACAAGAGAATTCATACCATAGTCTCCAAGTGGCAAGAAAAACTTGGAACATGTTCCTTGGGTCCAAGTCAATCACAGAATCAATCACAGAGTCACAGAATCACAGGATGTCCAGAGTTGGAGGGGACCTCGAAAGATCATCTAGTCCAGCCCCAGCTAGTCCTGCCAGAGCAGGATCACCTACAGTAGGTCACACAGGAACGCGTCCAGGTGGGTTTTGAATGTCTCCAGAGAAGAAGACTCCACAGCCTCCCTGGGCAGCCTGTGCCAGAGCTCTGTCACCCTCACAGTGAAAAAGGTTTTCCTAGTGTTTTTGTGGAACCTTCTATTCTCCCTAGGAGATAACCTCAGGTCACCAGATTTCCCTAGTTACTGTGCTCACAAACCTTCTTGTCTCTGGATGGATCAAGGATCACAACATTCTGGGTCTGGTTCATTGTAGTTGTTACCTTGCACAAGCCAGGGCAGTCATCTCATTGTGCTGAAGTAGGTCTTCCAGCTCTAGAACTAGAGCTGAAGGAACTAGTCAGCTTAAGTAGCAAAAAAACCCCTAAAATAACCAAAACTTGTCTCTTCAAACCCGGAGAAGAGAAACACTACATGCTTTAGAAATGGAGATGCATGTTAAACGTTCCTGTTATGAGTTCAACACCAAGGTTTGAACACTTTCTTTTGGAAGACGGCTCATCACTTCCAAAAGAAACTATGGAAATTAGGAGCCGTGTCAGAAACACGCCTATCATCACGTCTGTGATCACGCTGCTCACAAGATGGCTTCATGGAGAAACCACTGTATCATCTGTACCACTGTCTCCTTTCACTGTGAATGTATACCCACAAAGTGAATGTAAAAAAATCTCCCCTTGATGTGTCATGGATATGAAGAAAGACATGAAATGTTTACCTGGGTATGTGTAACTGGCTCAGATTCTGCCCGACAAAAGAAAGAGGGACACAAAATAGAGTGAGCAGGGCAAGAAAGACAAGATGATCTTGTTTGCAGAATAGCTTGAATTTCTCCACTCATTATCTCTGTCTTGGATGGGTTGTCAAAAAGAGCTTGTGCTTTTAAATCCATGTCATGGACAAACCCATACACTCTAACTCATAGGCATCATTTGTCTCACATGCTTATTAATAAGGGAAGTGCCAGATTACTCTTGGTAGAGTCTGACAGCTAAACCTCATGCCTTGAGATGTTTTCATCTTTCTGTCTTTAATGCTGGTGTTTGCCTTGGAGTAAAACATTCCATATGTCCTCACTGCATGTCGTAACTGCCCCAAATGTGTTGTGCATTGAGATAGTGCAGAATTTGAATTATGCCCACCATAGTTTGAGGTGTAATGGCCTGGAGTCCCAGTGTTGTGCTCACTTATTGTCAGCGGTGGGACCAAGATTCATGTGCTTTAATGTGCTTAAAACCCAAGACTGAATGCTTCAGAAGTGCCATTCCTTCTATCTAGCACATGCACCCTTGTAAATGAAGAACTGATAAGGGCATTAAACTATAAGACAAAAGCTCTTAAAGGAAATCTGCATTTTGCATTTGTAGTAGCATCATATTCAGAGGAGGCTCAGTAAAGTAAGTCAGCCAGAGCAAAATGAGCGATTAACAACTTGTTGAGGGCCTGTCAATTGTCATGAATATTCAGTCATCTTCTCAAGCATTAAAGCATGTGATACTTCAGATGGCCCCTGCCTCCAGACTGAGGAAAGGAACGTATTGTGCTAAATGCTCAAACTGTGCCCCTCTTCTGCATGTGTGCAAGTTGTGTCCATGTGTGAATTTAACTTACTTAGAGTCTTTCTCCTCTCCAGTCCGTCAGCCAGTGGGACAGTTTAGGCTAAACTGTGTGGCATTGACAAAATCCTTTCTCTGTGCCGGGATGATATAGAAATCATGCCTTTAATTTGAATTCTGTGTGTGCAAATATAGACAGATGAGATAAAACTGATCCCTGACTTTAAGAAATAATTAGTCATAATATAAAGAAAGCAAGATAAAGATATTAAAGATATCAAGAAATAATTAGTCATGTATAAAGCACCTCTTGTATGAGGACAGGCCAAGAGGGTTGGGAGTGTGTAGCCTGGAGATGTAAGAAAATGCTTCAACCAACTTATAATTTTTTCATTTTTGTACTTAGCAGAGACCATGTTCTGCATAGTGAGGCAAATACGATTGGTACTGTGGCAAATATCCTGTCTGGTGTTTAGCAGTTCTTTAGTAAAATCTGACAACTCTGAAGAAAAGTACTGTTAAGTTCAGTAAAATAAAAAAGCACACAAATGATTAAGAATTATTATAGTAATTTCATTGATGGACAGTTGGTAAAGGGAAGAACATTAGTAAGACCTAATTAACAATAATGATGAAACCAGGGGTGGTTTTTGTTATGTAAAGAACTATCAGAGAACCATGAAGAATATTAATTAGTGATATTCAATGAAAGTGTGTTTACATATCTGAGTCTAATCAGAACTGTCTTCTCAGATTGTCCTCTTCAATATTCAGGGAATGTTTTTTTATTCTTTCAGAGGTACAAATAAAGAAAAAAAAAAGAGATGGATTTTATTTCACAGAGATGTAATTAAAAATCTGATGCATGAAGTAACTTTCAGCGAGTTAGGTTTCTCTTTTTGGTTTTAAAGAAATGTGCAGTGCTAATTTTATTGCAGAAATAATGGCTTATGTTGGATTTAAAGTAAGAGTTAAGATGACAGGCAGAAAAGCTTGCAAGGTCTCACCTAAGCTCCTGGTTTGAACAGTTAGACTGTAAATAAGAAATATAGCTAATCCCATCCTTACTCGCCTGATTTAATGAGTATATTAGAAGTATTTAGATAACAATGTCATGTGTCTGCTCTATAGCCCAATGAGATGAACACCATCGTAGAAAAGCTGCTTTTTTTTTAATCTACTGGCTACAAAAGGCACGTGAAGCATCAAACTCCCCTGTAGATGCCTGTGTTATAGAAGTCTACCTTTGGACACAACCTTGTTTTCTCAAATTGTGTGGAAGCGTGTGTATACACGTGATGCTTCACTCAATGCAACCTTGGTCTAACACCTTGCTTCAGATAACAGATGTCAGCATTTTGCTCTTCAGTATGGTCTTCCAGTTAAGCAATATTTAAATTCCAAAGAGCAGGAGCAATTAGCAACCTTCACCGTGGAACCTCATTTGTGCTCTACCAGCTGTGTTCCAAATTCTCCACTGACTTTTTCTAGCCCACTAAGTTCTGCCACATGCCTCAGTCTGCTTTTTATTAGTCCGTCTGCTATATTCTTCTGTATCCTTCTGCTAGAACAGCCAGCTTCCCAGAAACTCCTCCTCTAATAGCTCTTGGTTCTCTGAATTTCAGGCATAATAGTTCTCCCGAAATGCCCTTCAAAAACCTCTCTCAAATGTAGGTCTTGCAAGTTCTGGAGAGTTGTATTTCCTGCCTTGGCATATCTCTTAATTCATTTCTCTTCACATCTTTCTGTCTCCATAACAAAAAAAAAAAAAAAAGAAGAAAATCATTCATTTAAGTTTGCCCTGGGGATTCTTCTTGGCTGATAACTTGGCTGCAGGAAGTATCTTATTTCGAGTCTTGCTCTCATGGCCAAATTTTGCAAAAGTTGCAAAATTAGCAATTTACGCTAATTTGCAGTCAGTGCACCAGGGAATAGCAGACATGTTTTATATTTATAAAATATTCAGGCTCTCATTCGCTTGGAATTTAAAAGATGTAGAAACTGAACCAAGAAAAGGCAAACAATTGTGTGATAATGAATTGTTTTCCTGGATACCTGCTGGCTACCCCGACATTTCTGCACAGTTCAAGCGAGAGAATTTTACAATGGCCAAACGGCTCCTTCTGTTTTAGCAAGCAACACATTTTGGAGAACGGCTTGTGGGGCGTTATGTGGTTTAGAAGAATTCCATCTGATCCATAGCTTTCTTTATCTCGATTTATTTGCCATGAACTCTTGAGGTCACGTCTTACAAATTGCCCTCTCATTGTGGCAACAAATATCATTAATTGTGTCCTTCTAAAAGTGCAAACCTGCACCTCTCTCCATGGTCTCCTTGTCTTAGGAATTACCTTTATTTTCATGTCTCCAGTGGCACTAAGCTTATCTTTGGTCACAAGGTGAAAACAGGGAAGGCTTAATTTTTGCTGTGTAGACAGGTGGTATCCACAAAAGGGGAAGAAAACTCTCAGACCATTGAACTCCCAAATCTATTTCCTAAGGTATCTAGAGCTCCAATGAACTAAACCTTAAAACATTATGATAGCAAAGTTGTCTTTCCTTGGTAGAACCAGGAACCATGTGGCTCTTATCTGTAGTATTAAATTAGCTGAGCCTGGAATTGCTCCTGGGGCTGAAGTCCAAATAGCGCGGAGTAGTTCACATCCATGTTATTAAACCCTCTTGGCCACCAAATCAGGGTAGCTGCAGTGTGCAGACTATTGGGAACGTCCTCTGGCTCATGCTAGCTCCAGATTTTTTTCCCCAGGAATAGTTTCGGGCTTGGCTATTGTTTAGCCTGGGCCAAAACTGCACCAACAAAAATGTAATGGTATAAATGATTGAGTCCAGAGCTGAACCCAGTTTCTGATTCATATACTGACATAAATATAACTGATTTATTGCTCTCCGTTAAGAGAATGAAATGAATGTTGGTATGGGTTTCTGTGAAATCATAGACTTAGTCTGTTGTAGAGCACAGCAGAAAAAAATATAATTAGTGGAAGTAAGAGTCAAGACAGCAGTCAGTCACATGGGACATGTCCAGGCTCTCTGCTAGTTTATGGCCCTTCAGTTTATCTGTATTTTCACTTACCCCAAGCTGATTTCCCTTTGGTGGTGTTGCATCAAGTATTTGCTAACTTCAAATGATTTCTCTTACTGTGTGCTGGATTCACTGGTCACCAACTTGGTTCAAAGGCCAAAGGGATGAACTCCTTATTCATGCAGTACTTTAGACAGCATTTCCATGCAGCTTGAGGCATTGCTATAAGCAACAGCCCTTACTCGATGGAATTTAAGTGTCTCTGGGCACTCTGATAGACACCAGATTTCTTTTCCTTCCAATGAATATTTCTTTCATCCCCTTTTCCAGCACAGCAGGACACACCTTCTGTATCCTCCGTATAGCAAGTTCTCACATTTTTTTGGAAATATTTACAAGGGCAACAGCCAAAATCACAGTGGGAACATGAGTGGTCTAATGGCAGGGAGAAATGGGGCTCAGATCTGTGTCCAAACAAAAGGTGACATTGTAGCACAAAACTCAATCACTTGCCAGTTATGTATATAATTAAACAACTTGAGGAGTAAGGTACTATCTCTCTGTGGTGTCTTTGATATTATTATCTAAAAGAACGCCATTCTGCTTTATAAATTATTTTCTTGGTTTGTTTCTTACAGATGCTGGTTTGGAAAAGAGCCAGGGAAATATATCGACTACATATATCAAGGGCCAGTGATTCTTGTTCTTCTGGTAAGCGTGTATGTGCTGGAAGGACAATGTTGATAATTTGATAGGCATCTGGGATATTCTACATCTATTTGTATGTAAAATAAGACACAAACGAGGTCAAACGAAGTCAAACAGCCCTTCTCTGAAGTTACCACAGTAGCTGTGGCACACTGCAAGTCAGGACCGTCGGGATCTTTTTTTTGCTGTTTCCTTCACCTTAGGCTATTCTTCCCTCCTCCCTCTGTAGTGCTGTTTGCACAATGCTTTGAGATATGGGAAGGAAAAATGTGCAGAAACAGGAGGTACGTTACGTGTCTGCTCATCCTCTTGAGGCTCTTGAGAACTAGGACAATTCCGTCACGCACATTGATTAGAAAAATGTAGTAGACGTGATAAAGAAATGCATCTCCTCGTAGTTTTCTACATCTTCTTCATCCCAATCATTGCTGTGTATCTGTTTGTTAGCTTTCCTGTTGTTAAGTTTCCGTTTCACTGTCGCCTACAGTTAACAGGCTGTTTATCTGTTTACCCAACACTGTCTCCTGTGCCAGCCAACAGTAGGCAGAGGAAGAAGGAAGCTCATTCATAAACCATTTTGAACCTTCAGCTAAAGTGTAGTGATGCTTTCTCAGGAAATACTGGGTGTGGTTGGAAAAGTTCGATGCTATTAGAAAGGGCAATGCTGAAAAACCCGATTCTGCTCCTCCACTCCTTTGCAGTAAAAGCCGTCTAGGAAGAAGGCAGATGCCCTAACAGACAATTCACATGGCTCAGTGGGTTTCCTTCTCTGAAGGAACCAAAACTCAGTATAGATGTCCCTTATGCCACTCCAGTGCACATGGAGAAGGTGCAAATTCTCCAGAATATGTAACCACTGCCAGCTTTTTTGAGGCTAAGAAGCCTTGTGCTCCCCCCGTGTCACTTCTGTGCTTTTCATGTGATTTGGCATGAAAAAAAAGCTTCTCTGTTGCCTAGGAAGCCAACTACTAATCTGAATGTTCCCTAACCTGAAATCAAGACAGTTAGTTTCTGTGTTAATTGTTAAGATGCAGCAAACATCATATTCCGTGTAGCTGAAAAGGGAAAAAAAGGGAGGGATCTGGTTTTACGTAAATATTCTTTTCTTTGTGTTCTAAGGAGAGAAATACAGTTGGTGTGATACACACGATATAGTTGTGTATCACCAAAGGATCCATCCCAAAACCACAAACGCCCTCGAAGTAAATTGACTGACTGATATAGAGACTAACTCAAAAACAAATCCTCTTTAGACAACACAAGGCAGCACGTTTGCAATATTCAGAGCATTTAGTTTTCCCATCGTCACATGCTGTGAATCTGTGAATCTACCATAACCCCTTTAGTCAACGAGATCTGTAAAATCCTTGAATAGCAGCTCTGGCATATACCATAGGTGGCGTAAAGTCACGAAAACAGCTTTGTTCTCCCCAGAACAGCACTTTCTATTTAAAGACCCCAAAGAGGCACAGAAAACGAAGATACAGTTGGAGGCTGCCTCTTTATATACAGGTCATGATATCTGCCACTAATTTAGAGCAGCCTTGAGACCCCCCTAAACTGAGCCAATAACTGTACCGCCCCGAACTGATACTGTGTATTGAACCTTCCTGCATTGGCCTGCACTTGAGCTCTAATTAAAACGCTAATGAGATAACAACAGTAATTGCACTGTGGGGTGGGAAGCAGCTGATATGATTTAGAAAAGTAACATAAGGGCAAGCCCTTCCTTCGCTCTCCTTATGGTTACTGCTGGGTGAGGAGAAGAGCTCTCTGGAAATAAAATCTAAAAGGCAAATCTGAAAGCTCCTCTTACAATACACTCCAGGCTGCTAAAATGTGCCTGTCCTATTTCTTTCTTTATTTTTTTTTAAATTGACAGTTTAGCCTTGTGTTTATAATTAAAATACACAACTCCATAGCGTGTTAAAGCAACTTGACAGGCTCATTTTTTTTGATCCTTACGTGAATAAAATCAAATTGTATATAATGACTCAAACATCATTTATTATTACTGGAGTTATTGACCCTTTCAAGGGTGCCATGAGAAATGCTGGATTAAGAGCACTGAAATTTGACGTCTGCCCTGTTCTCAGGGCAACACAGTCAAACATCACCCCCCCAGCACGTTGGTGCCTTAACTTAGATGGGGACAAGTTGCTGCTTTCCTCTTCCCTTGAGTGCACAGTGATCACCAGCAATGGAAGGCACAAAGATTTCCAAAATGATACAACTCCGTGACCTCTTTTAGCCATAGCAGATGAGTTGGATTTGAACTAACGAAGAACTGAAACGTTCAGCTGAAGTTCATGTTTTATGACAGAACGTACAGGACAATTCTGTGAGAGAACTACCCCAGTGTCCTGCTGGAAAGATAAAAAGACATGAACGTTGCTAGAAGAAATTAATATTGTTTCCAAGAGAGGGTTCACACTAAAACCTAAAAGTCTAAAAACTCCATCAAATTACAGCTCCTGCCTACATTCGAGCACTCAGCCTGTGGCAGTTAAAATGGTTTTCATCTACTTTAGTTAGTTAAGCACCAAGTGCCCAGCGCAGAGCTCAGCTGGGTTGTGGTTACCTGTTAGACAAAGGTAACGTCGCTGTGTGTTTAGGAGACATGATTATACCAGCCAGTGGCAATATGATTAGAGTGCTCTTATCATGCAGAAGTTCTACACCTCAGTGGGAAACAAAGATTGGCCAAAAATAAAGCCCTTTGATCATGGTAGCAGTCCTCAATTCCATCTTTAAACCATATTATTCTCTGTTATATCTCAGGATACCCCTCAATAAAAAAATAAATAAATTGAACGGTGCAGCAGAGAGCTTTGTTTGATTGCTTTCCTACTTGTCTTTAAAAGCAATTTGAACGCTGACTTGGGCTGAAAACAGGGAAACAATTTCAGAGAGAGACAATTTCAGAGGCAAAGGAAACTGGGCATAACTGCTGATCCTGAATTTTGTGTGAGAAACCTGTATTTTTATTGATTAAAAATACGAGAGAGAAAATGTAGGTAAATATCCTTTGTTTCATTCCTGAATGGATTTTGGTTTGAACATATCCCAGGAGAGATCTAACCATTCACTACGTGGGATGCTCTGAAATTCAATCTCTGATAGCGCTAGAAAAATAACTTAGGTATCCTCTCTTCAAATTAGTGTGGTTTTTAGTGCTGGCATCTTTCCTCAGAGTGGCATAACCAAGTTTTAATCATACATCCCTCTCTGAAGGTAAAGAAGGGACAAACTGTTGGAAGTACATGCCAGGGAACTGAATTTCAGCCTGATTTTATTAAGAAAAATACATTTCTTATGTGCAATTTTAAACGTAATCCCTGTCAAAGAACTG